CCAACTGCACGTATATGCACGTTCTCCGAGTGTCGCTTCAAATAGTGACTGTGACATGACTGCAGAAGCTGCACTGCAAGGTGCGGATGAGCTTCAGTTTGTGTTATTTTAAGCCTCTTACTGACACATTGTCGTAATTTCATTTCTTCAGGACCTGCGGTAGAGGCTTCAAAAAGCGGCTCCCACACATTGAGGTGCCCCGATGAGCAGGGTGCGTTCAGTGTCGCGATTTCTTTTTTTTTACCCAAATTGACTGTTGACCAAACCTCTGCAAGTGGCAGCTCCCTTGTAGCTGGTGAAAGAATTTCTGGTGACTTCGTCTTGCCAAAGAAAACCTTAACCAGTCGTTCAGCTGTCACAAAAGGAACTTGTGTGACCGGTAAGTTGTATGTTCACTTCAACACCAGAGTGGATTGATATAGAGACTTCCGCAGGCCGCTCGCAAGATTGTTCCGACAGCACTGTCCGAGGCACTGAACAAGCTTCACAAGACCCTCCAGAAGGCGTCTCCGCCAACAGCTCCACGCCTGAGTGCCCTAGAGAAATGGAGACTATGCTTTTATTGGAGCTGTTTTTAATGTGCTATTTTATGTTTGGGACATTCTGAGGAAAATATCCTCAAAAGGACACTACGTGTGCACTTACAAAATGTAAGGGTGGGCTCTGAGTGATTTTAATTTTTTTTGTGCATTGTCAACATTGTGAATGGTTTGTTTTTAGGTAGTGGAATCGAAAACTTTGCACCACAGAAAGTTGTGCACCTTGGGTCTGAAAGAGCGAGGAAAGTGCTCGTATGGGATTAGTTGTTCTTCGCTTTTACATCTATTTTTTGTTTACTGCAGTGCGTTCCTGTGTGCCAGCGACAATGTCTCCATCAATGAAGTACAAGCAAACCATTAAACATCTGCAAGCCAAAGTAGCAGCACAGCGGACCCACCAGTATTTCACAATGCTCAAAGCATACCACGTCCCCAGCAAACTTTTTGGGAATCTCACTGTTCCATCAGAAGCAGCTTTTGCATAGCTTTTGAATCTCACTTTCTTGCCATGATTGAGGCCACTGCACATCACCTGAAAGTGTGCGATGTTTTGTATCACCATCTGTCAATTGTTGGCGATTTTCATTTCTGCTCTGCTGGGTGTCGCGCGAAGTTTCTGAAAATGTTTTGCCGGGTTCGTTTATGTTGGCATGTGCGTTTTGTGAACCAAAACTTAGATAGGGTTGGGTTCCAGTCTTCAATCTCAGGCATACAGCTTGACAAGTTCAAAGGTTAGCAATTAGCGGCGGGTTTACACTAAAGTATTCGAGTTGAGCCGAATCCTGCAATAGCTTTGTTATGTTTATTACTTCGTTACAGCAGACCTCATTATGGTCTTATATGCTTATATTCAGTTCAACTGGACTAACCACTCCTTCGTTGCATACATTGTTTTGGTTACCCGCTATGAGGAGTAGGGACACTGTGTATTCGCTCGAAGTGATTTGCATAACCTTAAAAAGAATGTTGGGTATCCTGTCTGTATTGTTGTAGCAAATGCGGGCGAACTGTACACTTTACTGTGGGGGTCGCTTGGTCACTGTGTATGCTTCATCTCTCCAGCTCAAGTAATATATCGATAACAAAACCGCTTGTTGAAATGTCTTCGAGTGGGTAAGGAACACAGTTTGAAGTGGGCACGGTTCACGTTATCACGCTTTTCGTATTTTAGCTTCTCATCAACCTCCTCATCTCGGCCATCAAAATTTTCAAAAGAATACCCAAACTTGTAGCGTTTGATGGGGCTGCGGATGCTGCCATTTTATTTTTATATAGCTTGTGAGTGATAACGTACGATGTAGAGCCTTTGTGAAAAATAATGAGCCAAAGTGGTTTCCTTCTGCTATTTATTAGCCCTGTAATACCGCTCTCGTAGCACCAATTAAAGTCCACAATTCTGGATAAGTGATGACTACAATCTATTTTAGCTCGCAAGCGTCACAGCAACACCAAGATGCAAATCGCTTGGGATCTTAAGTTTTTGATGAAGGCGACGCATAAGAAGAGCCACAAGACCTGCCAGTGTTGTAGCATAAAGTTTGTCTTTCACGTAGTGAGCAAGCTGCAAAGCCCTACCTTTCTGAGGACAAGCAGGCATCAAGTCTGCTTTTTTTCATTTTGGACTAGCTGTTCTTAAGCACAGCCAGAACACTGCACCTTTGCCTTTCTGCTATATTGTGTCGTGTGGTTTCTGTGCGCTCTTTTTTTCTATGCATTATTTCGGTTAACCTCAGGCGTGATTCGCGACTTCATTGCTGTGTATATGTCACTTCTTCCTTCTTCATCAGCATTGTGCGCTGCGTTGTTGCCATAGATCCTTACTTACCCACTGGCCCGGTGTGTCATACTTCACCAGCTTCTCGGCTTCTGCCAACTCTAGCGATGTGTGCGTTGTCTGTCTTCTCTCTGTATTTGTTACAATTTATTTGTAAGGCGAGGTGCATTTGTTGTCTACCTTTGTGATATTGTGCTTTTTATATTCTCAGACTCTACCTTGCCTTTGAATAAAACATTGCGGATACTCTGTCTCTTTGACTGATATATACATTGATCACTTGTTCCAAAAGAAAAACACAAGCGCGATGAATAAAACCGTAGTGAATTATCATTACCTGCATCTGTTTTTATTATAACTTAATCGAAATAAAAATCACGTCACGACCAATTCGCACGAACCCCTGAACAAAACAGGGAATCGCTAAATCAAAACTACCTACAAAAACTATCCATTTGGGCGATGAAAAGTGGTCTGAAATCATAAACTTTCGTCATAGCCAAACGTCGGTTACGCAAAGTAATTCAAAATTTGCGCCAGTGAAACCGAAACAGGAAGCGCACGCCACTTGCTCTCACCAACCACCAGGTGTGCTAGGGTCGATTGGGCCGCTGGGGTCTACGGGAGTGTCCACTCTTAACCTTTTTTTATTTCTCTATGGAGTATATGGCAGGACTGGCGCCTGGCGTGGCAACACCGGCGTGACGCGACGAAATGAACGCCGGCGAGCACGCGCACCACGTCACGTCCAAATGTAATTGTGCCTTGACTGTGGCATGTAGTCATGTTCTCACATGACACGCATCTCATGAATATCATGTTTGCACCAGTCAAATACCTTCGTCATCCATTGGCGTCACGTTATACCAAATTTGACATATGTGAAGCTAGCGAAATGGCCGCGAGCGCATCATCAATGTGGCAAGTAGTCATGTTGTTAAATGACACACATGTCGTGATTATCATGTTTGTATGTGTCATTTGCCTATGTCGTCCATTCGCGTCACGCAATACCGAGTTTGGTACATGTGAAGCTGGCGAAACGGCCGCGAGCGCATCATGAGCACAGCAAGTAGTCATGTTGTTAGATGACGCGAATTCCATGTTTATCATGTTTGCACCAGTATCATACCTTCGTCATCCATTCTTGTCCCGTAGTACCAAATTTTGTATAAGGGAAGCTAACGAGAGGGCCCCCAGCGCACCATGAGCGTGGCATGTAGTCATGTTGTTACATGACACTTATCTCATGTTTATCATGTTTGCACCAGGATCATGCCTTCGTCATCCATTCTTGTCTCGCAATACCAAATTTGGTATAACTGAAGCTAGCGAAATGGTTGCGAGCGCATCATGAGCGTGGCATGTAGTCATGTTGTTACATGACACGAATGTCATAATTTTCATGTTAAGGTCTGTCGCTTGTGTTCGCCATGCAATCATGCCATACCAAACCAGTTTTTCAACATGCCATGTGAACGAAACCACCGCAAGAGCTGCAGGACCATGAAATGTAAATCATGAGATTCATGACATGCATATAATGATTTTCAAGTGATTACTAGTCAAAAAAATGGCAGCATATCCATGGAGTGAATGATAGAGAATGGGGTGAAGCATCCGTCCGTCCATTCGTTCTTGCTTCCGTCCGTCCATGCATCCGTCTGTGTGACCGTCCGTGCGTCCATTCGCCCGTCCGTGGGTGCGTCTGTTCGTGCGTCCGTACGCCCACATGTGCGTCAGTCCCTGCGTTCGTCCATGCATCCGCCCCTGCCCGTCCATGCGTCCATCCGTTGGTGCAGCCATCAGTGAGTCCGTCCATGCATCTGTCTGTGTGTCCGTCCGTCCATCTGTTCAACACTCCAAGTACCACCATCTGACATCTTTTTATCATATATTCCGCATATAGAAGCACCGCCATCCAGCAGACATTCCAAGGACTTAACGAGAGTTGGCACACGCATACTTTCATACGGCTTGCGCTTCGTGTTTACTTCCCATCTTTAACCACCTCGAGTTCATGGTATATACTTGTGCCCAACGATCGCTAAACCTTTCTAAAACGAAGGAGGTTATGCCCAGCAAGTATAACATAGCAACCCTTTCTTGTCAGATAGTGCTCATTGTACATGCCAATGGCTGCTAAGGGAGAATGAGAGACAGAAAAATTCGGCTTTTACTTAACGCGCACGCTGCGAATGTTTTATTGTTCAAAACGCACAGAAGAATTCTCTAACCGGCACCACCTTGGAGGTCAAGATGTAAGACTGGTTACACACTACGAATACTGCTACGACTACGAGGGACGAACGAGTGCCGCTAAGATCAAAGTCCTTTTGGGTAAGATCAGAGTTCATGCAAGCCGTTTCTCCGCGCGAGTCGCACAGCTGGACCCGGGGCCACGTCGCGCTGACGTTGCCCCACCGGTCCCATTCAAGGAAAAAGCAAGCAACCTGTGGCAGAGTCATCGCGCCCTGCCGCGAGCGGCCACCGCCCCCTGGACTCAGACCTCCCGGCTGGAGCCCCACTCCCACCCCCATGCCAGGCATGGCAAGGTCCCTGGATGCCGCCTGCTGCCCCGGAAGCCTTCCACCCTGGTGCCACCTGACGCTGAGCGGTCTCTGAGCCGCCCTGTGTACGAGAGTGCGGAGATATCTGCGCACTACCAGACCAACAAGTCACACCCCCTAGTCCCGCTGGCTGAGCGCCTGCGAGACCGGCGGACCCGTCCCCTTCAGATATGGCAAGCCCAAGCACCCTCCCGGTGAGGACGAACTGTTTTCAGTTCACCACCCCCGACGGGGACGTGTCTATTGACGACCTTATAGATGCAGTTGAAGAGACAGTCGGACCTGATAGTGTGTTAGTCTAGCAACACATGGGGGGCGCGAAGTTTCTTGTGTGTACCCGAAACGCGAGTCAGGCCACAAAGCTAATGGTTGCAGAGGGCTTCCAGGTTAACCGGGAGCACGGTACAGTAGAAGTGCTGGGACCCCCAGTTACGTTTGTTAACGGATACCGCGTTCCGGCATAAACGATTTCTTGATTAACACTTGTGGAGATAGGTTTGCACAAGGCTTACCTACTATGCGCAACCGTGTAGGGATGCGACGTCCTCCACTGCCGCTGCGTGCAAAGACGTTGCGGCCGGGTTCGTCGTTTTCTCCGGCACGGCGCAGAAACCACGCACGAGGCAGGATAACAACAAAAATGGGTTTATTAGCCCAAGATGCAGTACAGTGCGACACTCACGGGCTTGCAGGCCGTATAGGGAACTCCGCAAGACCGAGCAAGTACGCTTGCCTAGGGCGCGACGATTCCCGCACAAGGGCCGAAGTTGAACGCACGAACGAGAAGCCGCCTGCTTAGCAGCGCGTCAACCCCTCGTGAAGGCCTGAGAGCATCTGCCGCGACGAGCGAATCGTCGGGCGCAACACAGCTCGTAGAAAAGGAGGATGTCGGAAAGGGACGTGGGACGGACTCGGGGTCTAACCCCACCCAGACTTTGCGTTGCTTGGACCAGCGACGAGTCGACACGAAGGCGACTGGGGCCTCAGTGCCGTGTTGGAACGTCCACGTAGCGACTTCACGACGAGGCGGTGTCTTGTTAGCCGGGGCCGGGGGAGCATTTGACGGAGGAGGCATGGACGCGGCCGGTGCCTGCGGAACGACCGAGCGCGCGGCTGGTCTTCCGGGCTTTTTCTTGGAGGAATGGGCCGTGAAGGAGGACATCACGAATGCTGGGGTGTCGGTGAAAAGCAGAAACGCATTGAAGGTGCGGCCCCGGAGGCGCGACAGGCTGGCCCAATAAAGAGAGCCTACTCCGTCGGATTGAAGGTTGCTTGAGCCAATAGGGCGCACGCTTCCCTTCTCCCGCCGACTACGCGGAAGATACCCAGTGAGAGAGTGAGCCACCGGAGAAAGGGCTTTTTTCTCTCGAGCAGCCGGGAGCGCTGGGAACTGAGTGGATATTCCATGCGCAGCGCGCGTAATGTTGTTACCAGGGAGAAAGCTCGCCAGGTAGCCGTTACTGTTGCTGCTGGAGGGGCAATCGCACAGCAGCTATAATCTCCGCTCCCTTACATTGAGGGTATGACGTCCCGCTACATGCCGGGGGCGAAAATCAGCCTAGGTGCGTTTTCGCAGGTTGTACTGGGGGTGTGGTTTGAAACCAGCCTTATCCCGGTTTCCCTGCGGTTCGGTGACCGCCCCCCTCCCCGAAGTCGTTGCTGCGGGCAACGAAAGGTTTGAGGTTGGAGACGTTAACTGGACCGCCGACTGGTCTCCCTTGGGAGTCAGCCAGCTTGTATACCAGGGGCGACACTTTGGTGTGCACTCGGTATGGGCCCAACCATTTGGCCGAAAGGGAGGCCGAGATGCCTTTGGCGGCGTCACTCAAGACGTGATTGCGCCTGAGGACGAGATCACCGACATCGTAACGGACATCCCGATTTGACCAGACGCATTGAGCCTTCTGACTAGCTCACGCTTTTGCCAGGTTGGAACGCGCCAGGTCGAGGGCCGCGTCCATCCGTGAGCGCAGTTCCACCGCGTAGCCAGACGGGCTGACCTTCGCGGCACTTGCCCCGCCTCCGTCCCGTAGGACGCGGTCCATGGAATTAGGCAGCTCTTTCCCAAAGTTGAGGAAAGCGGGCGTGTACCCTGTCCAGCGATTGACCGTAGACCGCAAGGAGAAGCCGATCTCGTTAAGACAAGCATCCCAATCCCTGTGTTGCTGCGCAAAGGCTGTCAGCAAGGGCTTGAGGTTCCGGTTGATCCGCTCGGTCGGGTTGGCCTGTGGGTGATACGTGGTTGTTTTATGGTGCTTAATGCCAAAGGCAGCACACGCATCCACAAACACCTTGGCCATGAAATAGGACGCATTGTCCGTGATCAACTCCGCCGGAAAGCCAAAGCGGGTAAAGACCTCGGTCAACTTGTCCCAGATAACGCGTGCCGTTAACTTCCGAAGGGGAAACAATTCGACCCACTTCGTGAAGTGATCTGTGACAGCCAGGAGAAAAACATGGCCTCTCCGGCTTCTTGGGAAAGGTCCCATAATGTCACAGGCCGCGACCTGCCAAGGTTGTTGGCTGTCGATCGGCTGCATTAGCCCGGGAGGCTTGCCCCCGCGAGGCTTCACGCATCGGCACACGCGGCATGAGCGGGCGTAGTGAAGGGCCTCGCGCTTCATGCCAGGCCAGGTTGCAGATCGGCACAACTTTTGAAAAGTCTTAAGGCCACTCTCGCGTCCGGCCAACCACGAGTCGTGGTTTCGAGAGCTGAAATAAATTATTCGGCGACGGAAAAAGAATGTCTGGCGGTAATATGGGCCATACAGAAATTCCGACCATACTTATATGGTAGACCATTTCGAGCAGTGAGCGACCATCACTCGTTGTGCTGGCTCGCAGGCCTAAAGGACCCTTCTGGGCGACTTGCTAGATGGAGCCTCAGGTTGCAAGAATACGACATAACAGTCGTATACAAGTCGGGTCGCAAGCACAGCGATGCTGATTGCTTATCACGCGCACCAATGGAATCTGCACCTGGGGAAGATGGAGACGACTTTCCGTTTCTTGGGGCCGTGAGCACCGCAGACATGACTGAATATCAGCGATCTGACGCGGAGTTGCTTAAACTGATCAAGCATCTGGAAGGGCAACCCGTGCGTGTTCCTCGAGTTTTCGTCCGGGGATTGTCCTCGTACCTCATGAGAAACAACGTTTTATACAAAAGAAACTTCGAGCACAGCAAGGAGAAATTCCTACTCGTCGTTCCTTCGGCCTTGCGACCCGAAATCCTGGAAGCCTGCCACGATGACCCAGCAGCAGGACACCTCGGAGTGAGTAGAACATTGGCTCGCATCCGCACAAAATACTACTGGCCAAAGTTACTGGATGCTGTACAGCATTATGTAAGGACATGTAGAGATTGCCAGAGACGCAAAACGCCTCCATTGAAACCTGCAGGATTTCTCCAACCAATTGAACCACCTGAGTCTCCGTTCGAACAAGTAGGAATGGATCTACTTGGTCCATTTCCCACGTCATCAATGGGCAACCGATGGATAGTAGTGGCGACAGACTACTTAACCCGGTATGCCGAGACAGCCTCTCTCACCAGGGGCACGGCTATAGAAGTAGCTGAATTTTTCGTCACTAACATTGTACTACGGCATGGTGCCCCAAAGGTGGTTATCACGGATCGAGGAACTGCATTCACAGCCAATCTGACGCAGTCCATTATGAAACTTACCCACACAAGTCATAGGAAAACAACGGCTTACCACCCCCAAACTAATGGGCTAACCGAGCGACTCAACAGAACTCTAACCGATATGTTGTCCATTTACGTTGACTTGGAGCACCGTGCGTGGGACAAGATACTGCCGTACGCCACTTTCGCTTACAATACTGCTGTGCAGGAGACTACTAAAGTGACACCATTCCAGCTAGTCTATGGTCGAGTAGTTACCACACCATTAGATGCAATGCTGCCTGTAGGCGACAATACAGAGCACAAGCCTGACATCAGCGAATTCATTCAGCGAGCCGAAGAAGCACGGCAGTTGGCGCGACATCGCATAAAACAACAACAACGCGTGGATGCAAACCGTTACAACCTTCGTCGGAGAGGAGTCGACTACGCACCAGGCGACCTAGTTTGGATGACTCCTGTGCGGACGCCTGGCCTTTCCGAAAAGCTCATGCGCCGCTATTTCGGCCCTTACCGAGTCCTTCGTCGCGTCAGCTCCTTGAACTACGAGGTGTCACCGGAAGGACAAGTGAGCTCATCAAGATGCCGAAGGAGCACAGAAATCGTGCATGTAGTCAGAATGAAGCCATACTATGACAGGCAATGAACATCGAAATATACACACCCGATTATGAGGAATACCTATTTCTCCATTGGAAATCACGCATTCAGACCATCTCAGCAACACTGCTTTTACGCATCGGGACGATGCGTTTTCGGAGGAGGGATAATGACGCAAGGCGAACGCAGTATTTAAACTACGCGCGCTAGTTCGTGCGCCCCCCAAGAGATCAGCGGCTTGATGATCAAACAAGAAAAGGCCGTGACGGCGCGCGCTTCCTCAGCACGGGATTTTGATGAAAAAGAAGTGGACCACCACTCGAGGGTTTTTCTCTCTCGGAGATTGATCCCTTTTTGCTGATCGCCTGTTACAGACGCCGCTACTTTTCGGGCACAAGTTCGCCCCAATAAACAGTTATTCGTACACCATTTGGATTGTACGTAACAATTCTGGTGGAGGTGCTAGGGTGGCTTTCCTTAGACTGCGGGGTATCACCACCTTGAAAGACTCCTGGGGAGCTTCTTCAGATGGGACGTAGCGCAGGAGAACGCCGTCGGCATCAAGCAGGTGCGAGTCCAACGTGCCCGCAGCAATACCAGCCTGCGTACGGCACTCGGCGCTGACAACAATACCAGCTGTCTGTTCGCGCCCGGCGGCTTGACCGCCACGCTCCACTTGGGAGCTCAGCTCTTTGAGCTCATCAACGATGTGTTGACAAAACGGATCGTCCTGCTGTGCCTTGAGCAGCTCCTCTCTGCCAAAGACGATACCGGTGGACGTGACAGGGTCTACCAGGTATGCATCCTCACCCGAGGCTGTCGACTCGAAAGTCACTTCGCCATCGGAGTTCGCGCCTTTCGACCCTTTGGAGCCAGAGGGCCCGGGGTCTACTTGATGCGATTGCTCTCGGGAGTGGCGGACACAAGTGTCGGATGCCGAAACGGGGGCACGCGACAAGGCGTCAGCCACGACGTTCGAACTCCCTTTTCGGTAGCACACAACAAAGTTGTACCGCTGCAAGGTCAACACCCAGCGCGCGAGGTGGTCCGAGGGCTCGCGCAAGCGCTTAAGCCAGGTGAGTGCCATGTGGTTCGTTTCCACCACGAATGGCACGCCGTCGACATAGCAGTCGAACTTCCGGAGAGCAAAAACTATAGCGAGACATTCCCTTTCTGTGACGCTATAGTTATGCTTGGCGGCGTTATGTGACCGACTCGCAAAGGCGACTTGCCGGAGGACGCCGTCATGCTCCTGAAGGAGTACCGCGCCGAGACCCAGGTCACTCGCGTCCGCTTGGACAACGAACTCTCTGTTCAGGTCGGGCAGCTTTAACTCGGCTGTGGCCACTAGGGCTTCGGAAAGCGCCTTGAAGGCTTGCTCTTGTTCTGGCCCCCAGCTCCATCGTGCCGACTTTTTCAAGAGTGCAGTCAAGGGCGCTTGGGGGGCTGCACAGTTTGGGATGAACTGTCGATAGTAGTTCACCATGCCCAAAAAGCGCCTCAGGCCCTGAATGTTTGTTGGCGTCGGGTACTCCACAATGGCACGTACCTTCTCCTCGCATGGCAGAACACGACCGCTCTGAATGGTAAAGCCTAATAGTGAGATGCGAGACTCAGCTATTTGAGCTTTCTTCGGGTTCAAAGTGAACCCGGCGGCACGCAACCTCCCGAGGACATCCTCCAAGTGGTGAAGGTGTTCCTCGAACGTTCGAGAGAAAATGACGATGTCGTCGAGGTACGCCATGGCGTGTTGCCACTTAGCGTCCCCTAGAACGCGGTCTATCAATCTCTGGAACGTAGCTGCAGCTCCAGAACAGCCAAACGACATGCGGGTAAACTCGTACAAACCTTTGTGAGAGGTGAACGCAGTTTTCTCTGCGTCAGCCGGCTCCATCTGAACCTGTAGGTAACCGCGGCTAGCATCCAAGGTGCTGAAGTAGCAAGCACTGCCTAGAGCAGCCACGATCGAGTCAACGTTAGGCATAGGATAAGCATCCTTCCTCGTGACCTCGTTCAGCCGGCGGTAGTCCACACAGAGCCGGTGAGAGCCGTCTCTTTTGGGGACCATTATCACCGGTGAACCCCAAGGACTGTTTGAGCGTTGGACAACTCCGGTCTCAATCAACTCATCCAGTGCCTGGTCAATTGCTTTCCTCTTTGCCGCACTAACGGGGCGAGCATTGCATTTCCACGGTTGTGCGTCACCTGTGTGAATCCGGTGCCTCACCAGAGAGGTGCAACCCGGGCGTTCCGTGAACGTATCGCTGAAACGTGTCAACAGCGACGACAGGCGTGCTTTCTCGCGTTTCGACAAGCTGTCCGGCAAAGGCGGCAGCGAGCCATTCGAGTTGCCGCTTAGCGGGGGGGTCACCGGCATAGCCGAGACCTCGTTCACCGCGGCAGCATTATGCTCGAGGGAAAGCTGTACGCACGGACCGTTTTCCGCCGCGCCGGCCAAAGGACCAGTCTTGGCGTCGGAGGGGAGACGCGGGCCGCGGGGGCAACGCTTGGTCTCCTTTCCTCCTTCGTCCGCGTGGTGTCCGGCGACTTACTGGCAGCCGAGAGCACGGGAGGTGCAGCGAAAGGCCGTAGGGCGCCGGAAGGGCCGTCCCTGTAGCCTCCGCTTGCTACATCAATCGCGATACCTGTGCACTCGAGAAAGTCGCGACCGAGAATCACAGGCACGGAAAGACCAGGGAGATGCACAAAGCGCTGTCGGCGTGCGCGATTCTCCCAACGCACAACCAACCGCGCAGCGCCGCACGAGGTGGCGGTACCGCTGGCGAGGTGGAAGACAGTGTCGCAAGCTCGAATGCGGACAGAGCGGTCACGCAAATGAGCCCTAACCTCTTCGCCGAACAGCGAGATAGAAGCCCCGCTATCCAGCAACGCCGCAAACTCTCGACCAGCGATCGTAAGGACGATGAACGGCGCCGGCGTGGCTGGAATGTCATGTCCAGCGCGACACGCCATCGGTGCCAGAGGTTGTGTTACACTCCCGTGCTCTCTTACTGCTGCAGCTGCTGGCAAGGGGGAGCTCACCGACGGCTCACCCCGTTTCCCGACGGGCGAGGAGGCCCTTGTGTCGGTTGGGGCGCGTTGCACTCACGCGCGGTGTGACAACGCTCATGGGAACGAAAGCAGACAACGCCTTTTCCTCCAACAGGGGGATTTTGGCGATCCTTTCGAGCTACGAGGTGTCCGTTCTCTAGCCGCAGTGGGGGCTCCGCGATCGAATATTCCCTCGTGCACTGGAGCACGGGGTTTCCGTTCTTGTTCACGCTTTCGCGCAATGGTGACCGCTCGGCCGTACGAGTATGGGTCCAGAGCGCGGTGCGACACGTCGAGCGCGTCTCGGTCTCTCATGGCAGAGGCCGCCTCATAGTTCGGGGATCCCCAGTGTGACAAGTCACGACCAGCCCACGCGCAACGAGGCTCGAGAGACGCGGACGGCGGTGGCGGTGGGCGATAGGCTCGCGCCGCCAGAATGTGGCCCTGAATACGCTTCGCATCGGATGCCAGCTCGTTTAGGTCACGATAACGGGCGCTCCGAAGGTAAGCGGCGAAGGTTGGATGAGCCTGACGTATGGCTCGCTCCACCTTCTCGGCGTCTGATGCCTTAGAATCGGCAAGGAGGTAGAGCTCCTGCAAAGCCCGAACGTACTCGAGAAGAGATTCGTCGGGATGCTGTGTGCGAAGCTCTAACTCGCGACGCATGCGGCGCTCGTATTCAGGAGGAAGGAATTCGCTACGGAAGAGTGCCCTAAACTCCTCCATTGAGCGAGCTTGGTGGCCGACGAGCCGGTACCACCTCGCCGCTTGGGCTGTCAGCGACACGGGCAAAAGAGAGCCAAGCATAACGGTGGCGCTCAGCCACGTAGCCTGCTGATAGCGGTGCAGCACCTCGAGGTACTCTGTGGCACTGATGCGGTCCGAATAACCGCTGCACTTAGGCAGAGGTACCCTTAAGCTACTCGTAACGCTTGGCTGAGGGGACTCGGGGTCTCCCTTTAAAGCACAAGGCTGCGAGCGCACCCCTTCCAACAGAACGTTTAGGAGCTGCGCCACAGTTGCGTGCAGCGGTGATTGCTCCGAGGCGGGCGCGGCCGTAACATGTGCGCGCGCCTGTTCCCCAACATGTGCGTCCAACCGAAAAGGGCCAGTACACGGCATGGAGGAGGGTAGGGTTTGCGCTCCGGCTGGTGCTTGAGGCCTCACGCGACTGGCAACTGGGTCGACAGCGGAGCACGGTGGCCCACGTCCGTCGAAAGCGTCGTCCACGCGAGTCTCAGGCCAGCGAGCGTCGGTGAACGCGGCGACGTTGTCGGTTAAGCGAGCAGGCTCGCGAACGACATCGTCAACCCTTTGCGCTCGCGACCACGACGGGTCAGTAAGCGCGTTCCCGCCAACACCTGAGTGCCCCCTGTAGGAAGTACTGGGTGCGGCTATTTGAGCTGTCAACCGTGCTGCTGACGGGGAAAGGCCAGCGAGCGGAGACTGCGCCGGGGACGGGCCCGTAAGCGCGTGAGTCTCGAACAGCTGATACAGCCCGTTACTGGCTTGGCTAGTACTGTGGTCCTCGTTCAAGCGACTCGCATCACCGTAGGGGGCCCCGAAAAAGGGATCTCTCCCGGTGAACGAAAGCAGAGGGTCGCCGAGAGGGCCGTACCCCGTGCTGTTGCAGCTGTCCGCCTCGAACGAGATCAAGTCCGTCGCCACAGGATCGAACAGGAACGAGTGCCTCGAAGGGGTCTGCTCTGAAGCCATGCCGAAACCAAGTTGGGCGCCAGTTATGTGGAGATAGGTTTGCACAAGGCTTACCTACTATGCGCAACCGTGTAGGGATGCGACGTCCTCCACTGCCACTGCGTGCGAAGACTTTGCGGCCGGGTTCGTCGTTTTCTCCGGCACGGCGCAGAAACCATGCACGAGGCAGGATAACAACAACAACGGGTTTATTAACCCAAGATGCAGCACAGTGCGACACTCACGGGCTTGCAGGCCGTATAGGGAACTCCGCAAGACCGAGCAAGTACGCTTGCCTAGGGCGCGACGATTCCCGCACAAGGGCCGAAGTTGAACGCACGAACGAGAAGCCGCCTGCTTAGCAGCGCGTCAACCCCTCGTGAAGACCTGAGAGCATCTGCCGCGACGAGCGAATCGTCGGGCGCAACACAGCTCGTAGGAGAGGAGGATGTCACGCGCGCCCAATGGGAAATGGCGCTGCGTTGTGACGTAGGCCCGCGCAGCGCACCAGCGTAGCGTGCCCGGACATGCCAGCGCGGGAAGAAGCCGGCGTTTGACCGGCCCAGACTAAGAGGTGCCCTGGCAGCCATCTTGGCAGATTCCGGCGCTTATGCGCGCCCGGGCTACGCCGCTGGTGCGCGTGCGGCAGCTGGGAACGAGGCGCCAGGCAGGAGGGCGCTCTCGATTCCAACACACTCTTTCACAGTACGGCAAGATAAGAAGTGTTTCCTTTGCATCAGTTCCTAACCGACAAAACAAGCCTAGTGGTGTTAGAGTAGTGCGCATGGAAATTAGTAGGCAAGTCCCAAACTTCACAACCGTTGCGGGGCACCGTGTCATGTGTGAATACCGCGGTATGCGCAGAGTGTGCGCAAGGTGTAACGAACCGGGGCACATGGCCACGGCGTGCGCAGCCGCTTATTGCAAGAGATGTGGTGTATTTCGGCATGACACCGAAGGGTGTGTTGAGGAGTGTAAGAGATGCGGCGGGCGGCACGGCACACGCGAATGTTTCCGCAAACTCTCGTACCTCGCAGCAGCGCGCGGCCTTCCACCCGAGACACGGCCAGTTACTAGTAACAACCACCCCAGCACCTCTCACCCGTCCACCGGGACTGAACCGACATCAGGGCTTCAGGGCCTAAGAACCAGGACTCGGCCCCACACGACAACGAATGTCCCGGACCCCTGGCAGTTCGAAGAACCCCGAGGGACGGAAGACGCACGCACCGCATCAGTGACCCCCGCTCCCTTGAACGCAGGCTCCGAAGCGGGGGACGACACGAGCAATACTAGTTCAGATGGCGACCAGGACGAGTCGAGCGGCCATGAATCCGGCTCTTCGGAATCCACCCGCGACTCCTGGGATTTGTCGCAACCTGCAAGCGAGGAACAAGAAGTGCCAACACAGGCGCAGAGTCCCGGGAACGACGAGCCTGCATTCTCTGGATTTGACGAGAATAGTTTCCTGCCACTTCCACCCCCAACGGCGCTCCCCCCCCCCCAACCCGGAGGAGGTGCCCATCGTAAGTTGTGGCCGCTACGTCCTGCCGGATACTGACCACTTGAGCACGGACCCTTGCACCTCCGTCGAGATGCAGAATGCCGGCGCAGCCCCGACCGATAGGCGCGAGCGCTCGAGATCAAGGTCCCCTTTAAGAGGCGAGGACAAGTCACCCGGCGTGGCGTCGAGCCTCAACGCGAACTTAGAAAACAAGCCTCGGCGCTCTAAAGCACCCGTCTGTTCCAGCGAGAGCGATGCCCCTCCCATTGCGAAGTCGCAGAAATTTAACGCGCCCCCGATAGAGAAAGGGCACTCGCCCTCAAGCGCAAGCAGAAAAAAATAGGCTCTTCGCCAAACCATCCTCCCTTTCTTTTCTTGTCCGTGTTTGCTTCAAGGCGAACACAAGAGCGGGCGCCGCGACACGGCAACACGGTCCTCCCTCTTCCCCCCTCCGCCTTCTCGCGCATGCTCCGCTCTTTATAACATGGTGCTACACCCCCTCCCCCCGCTTGTTTCTGCTATCAGTGGTGGCCGCCCCGCTTACTCCCTTTCCCCCTCTGCTCCTTTCACCAGCCGAAGCCACAGCAATGGTTTTTGTTTATGTTTATCTGTTGCACAGATGCCTGCTTCCCTTGCGACTAATCGGCACCACGGCTCCTATGACGCATCCCTTAACCCTTTGATGCCCACTGTTGCTATGGGGCAACAACCCCAAAAATAATTTTTTCCGCAAAAGCATGTTGTTGTGGGATACTGCTAGCGCCGACTGTGGAAAGAGACAAAGTCTACCAAGCGTCCTAAGCTTCACAAAAATACACACAGATGGCAGCATCGCCTTTTTCTAGTACTTTGTTCGAGCGTTTGAGAGGTGGCAACGGAAGCTCCGCACACGTGAGTAAATTTATCCTACTACAGCGGAACGGGACGCTACCGCGAGCTATGTTATACTCAAAACTGCGCATAAGGCGTTGTAGAACACTTATGATCAAGCTGAATGGTGTGGCCGCATTTTACGCGTTAGAAATCTTCCCTCCAAAAACGCTGTTGCTCACGAGCAACGTCGGGCATTTGCGGAGGTGCAAGCCGATATAGGGTTGGACGCTTATTGCGTTTCTCTGCTTGACTGAACGCAAAACCAGGCAATAACATAATCTTATTTCTACGAAATACGATAAGTGATTGTTATTGGACAATATTCTTTTGTCTTTCATGTATAGATGGCGATGTCAAAAGAAAAGAAATGGCTGACAGATGGAGAAATACAGGAGCTAATCTTCCTTCCGGATGGTGAATTATCTGATGTTGATTTTGACAGCGACCCAAATGATCCCGAATATGAACCTAGAGAAGATAAAAAATTGATTGATTGCTGTCTGCTCGAAGTTGTGATAAATCTTCGCGATCAACATCCGCGAGAAGACGACGACGGAGGAATGCCAAGCAACCTTGTTGAAGCTGTTCCGGGAACATCCCGCCACACGGCCGCGCAGCGCAGAAAGATGAAAGAAAGCGTTCGCAGAAAATGGACAACAAAAGACGTTATGTTTGATGACACAGCCTGGAAGGGTGAGCTGCCCCCACCGCCCGACGATGTGCTAAGTCCATACCAATACTTTTGTGCCTTTTTCGATGAAGAAATGGTAGACACACTGTGCTATCAATCAAATATGTATTCCACCCAGAAGAATGGCACCTGTGCAAACATCACCAAGGAGGAGATGAGGAAATATCTCTCCATATTAGTGATTTCGGGGACAGTCAGGGTGCCTCATTTCCGGATGTTCTGGCAGTGTGGAACGAGGTTTGAGCCTGTAGCGGACCTCATGTCTAGAAATAGATTCGAGGCCATACATCAATGCCTACATATGAACGACAACTGTCAGGCAAAGCCACGAGACGCTGAGGGCCACGACCGCCTTTTCAAGGTGCGCCCACTTGTGAAACAGCTGAAGAAGAACATGAAGGCAGTGGCCCCAGAAGAACGGCAGAGTGTGGACAAGCAAATTATTCCCTTCAAGGGGCGCTCACCGCTAAAGCAGTACATGAAATCGAAGCCCCACAAGTGGGGCTATAAGGTGTTCACAAGGGCAGGTGTCTCCGGAATGATGCACGACTTCATCATCTATGAAGGTAAAGGTACTGCTCATGACAATGGATTCGGCATCTCTGGTGATATAGTCATCGATCTGGTGAAAGATCTTCCGGAAAACAGGAACCACAAGCTATTTTTTGATAACTGGTTCAGCAGTCTGCGCCTGGTAGACGAGTTGAAGCGCAAAGGATTTCTGAGTGTTGGTACCGTTAGAGTCGACAGGACGGAGAAGTGTCCGCTGGCACCTGACGCAACTCTCAAGGCGCAAGGAAGAGGCTCGGTGGATTTTCGCGTGGACGAGGACTCTAACATTGGAGTCATCAAATGGTTTGACAGCAACTCCGTACACCTCGTGTCAAGCTACGCTGGTGTCCAACCAACCTACCTTTGCGAGCGGTGGAACAGCAAAGAAAAGCGCAGCATTGATGTTCCACGCCCTTTCGCCGTAAAGAAGTACAATGCCTTCATGGGAGGTGTTGATCTCGCCGACATGCTTATTGAGCTGTACCGCACAGTCCACAAATCGAAAAGATGGTACATGCGCATTTTTTACTGGATGATGGATGTTTCTATTGTCAATAGGTGGCTCCTGTATAAACGCCACTGTGCCCAGCTATCTATCAAAAGAAGGTTGTCTCTGCTAGCTTTTCGAGTGCAGATTGCCCAAACCCTTGCACATCTGAAGTCAAATCCTTTGAAAAGAAGGTCAGGTATGGCTGCTGAAGCTGGAATCGTGCCCGCCAAACACTTGATCCATTCTCCGGTGACACCGAGGCCCACAGTGGACGTGAGGTACGATGGCATGAACCACTGGCCACAGTACGGCGAAAAAAAGAACCGATGCAATTTCTGCAAGTTCGGCTACACGTTTCTGTGCTGCGCTAAGTGCAACATGCACTTGTGCCTCCTTCCAAGCCGCAACTGCTTCAAGGCATTTCACGTGAAGTAGTGCCTCAAGTGCCCAATGTTGCTCAGGAGCAACTCCTCATTACTCACCTATAAATAAACATAATTTTTTCTGACAACGTAATTGGCATATTGTGACCTTTCTTTATGCATGCCAGAGTTTTCTTGTTGTGCATTTAAACAAAATTTTGGGCATCAAAGGGTTAAACCACGGAGGGCTTTGTAGCCCAACTAGCAACCGCGCCGCCCGCGCCTTTACGCTCGGCTCCTTCAAGCGTGCCGCCCCGGCCCAAGTGGTCGCCCCCACCCCCTTTTTCCCCCAAGTCCTCTCCCTACGCTCACTAGAGCAGATCATGTCAACTCTCATCTGTGTCGTGGACTCGTAGCGCGACGTCAGGGGACCGGGCCGAGGGGGGTCCACGTACTATGCTAGGGAGCTCGTGAAGACTCTTCGACACCTTCGGTTATCCGACGCGTGGCTGATCGCGCACGACGACTGATCACTGCATGATTAAGGCCAGAAGGACGGACGACAGCCGCGTCTACCGTATCTCTAGTGCGGGTGACCTTGCTGTGTTGGCCTAGCCTACCAGTACTGCTATTTACTGCTTCGTATTTTAAACCTACGCAACAATGTTTTCTTGTCAAGCTCTGAAAAAACATTTCAGTGATAAAAACCCAAAACTATCACTGATACATTTGAATATTCGCAGCCTACGTAAAAACTACAACAGTCTCATTGCATTTCTTTCTTTAATTAATCACAATTTCTCATTTATTTGTTTGTCTGAGACGTGGTTGTCGCCGGACGACAGAAACTTGTATGCGCTATCAGGATACAATGCAGAGTACTGCTATCGTGCTACACCACGGGGCGGTGGATCCGCCGTTTTTATTAAATCGTCATTGTCATACAAACGCCGCAATGACCTTGCGTTTTCTAATATGTTCTGTGAATCTGTATGGATAGAATTTGACAAGAGTGTTTTCTCAGTCGATGGCCGGAACACAGTATTAGGGTGCATTTATCGTTCGCCAGCATCTTCACAGTCTGAATTCTGTTTTCAGTTCGATAAGTTGTTGCACACTATTACGAACGAAAACAAAAATATCATCATCTGCGGAGACATCAACGTCAACATTATCGACCCTACTAATCAGTCATGTTCTGATTATCTCGGGTGTTTACATGGCTACGGTTTTGAATCTTTAATAACCACTCCCACCAGATGTGACATAGCAGGATCTAATACGTTAATTGACCACATATTAACCAATTTTGCTACAGACAATACAGAAGGAGTCATTGAGCACAGCATAACGGATCATTACCCTATATTCCTGACTTTGGGCACAGAAAATTACAAGTGTAAGGAAAACAAAGAGAGGATATCTTTTAATTCTCAAAAATTCGTATCTATGGTACAATCAATTGACTGGACCGTCGTAATAAGTGAATCCTGCGCTGAAAAGGCTTATCAGCTATTTTTGACTGCAGTTACACAATGCATTAACGAATGCACGACGGTACATATCACAGCTCGTCATTTTAGTAATCCCAGAAAACCTTGGGTTACAAGGGCGCTACTTCGATGTATCTTGAAGAAAAACCAACTTCACAAAAGAGTGACTTGTGAGCCATTTAACTCTGAACTTAAAATTCGAGTCAAGAAATATTCCAACACGCTTGCAGCCGCACTTAAATGTGCAAAACGAGAATACTTTCAGAAAAAAATTTTGGATAATGGCAATGATACGAGGCGCAACTGGCAGGTCATAAACGAATTCTTAAATAATAAATGTCGTGAGCAGATAACGAAAATTAGAACTGAAGCAGAAACATACAGCCATCCAACTGATATCGCCAATGCGTTCAGTGAGTATTTTAGCAGTACCTGTGAATCTCTGAGAAATCCCCCATTACCAACATTACCTCGCCAGCCTTATTCTTTCTTCTTGCGACCAACGAGTGCAGAGGAAGTTCTTCGTGTTATAACTTCGCTCAGGTCCACGGGACCTGGTCTTGACTCTGTTCATCCATCCCACATCAAGTTAGTCTCTAGTGAGCTATCTCCTGTCATTGCAGATATTGTTAACAAGATGTTTAAAGCAGGCATATTTCCCGATTCCCTAAAAGTTGGTAGAATAACACCTGTTCACAAAAAAGGTGATCGCGAACTTCTGAGTAATTATAGGCCCATTTGTATTCTTCCATTTTTCAGCAAAATAATCGAGCGTCTTATGCATACAAGATTAATATCCTACCTGACAAAGTTTAATCTGTTGACATCTAAACAGTATGGCTTTCGGCCTGGCTATTCCACTGAGCTTGCGCTTCTAACCCTCACCGATAAAATAAAAGGGGCAATCGACCAAGGCTTCGTAGTTGGTGGCGTATTCATAGATTTAACGAAAGCTTTTGACACAATTAATCACAAAATTCTTATACATAAACTTGAATCGTATGGCATAACTGGCCCTGCACTTCAATTTATATCTAGTTATCTCTGCAATCGCACTCAAGTTGTTCAGATTGACGGTAAAGTTTCAGTAGCTAAGAAAGTAAATCAAGGTGTTCCTCAGGGCTCGATCCTTGGCCCGCTGCTCATGCGCAATCACTCATTCGCAAGATAACCTTTGGAATACGCGCCATAATCAAAACTCGTTCATATTTTCAGCCACACATAATCCACTCCCTTTATCACGCACATATTCACAGTCATTTATCTTATTGCATATCAGCCTGGGGTAACACATATTTGACCCACCTCAACCAACTACAACGCCTACAGAATCAAGCACTTCGACTCATGACTTTCAGCCATTTCTTAACCAATGCAACGCCACTTTATCAGAATTTAAATATACATCCTCTTTATCACCTCTTTCAGCTGAAGTTATCAGTTGTGATGTATAGGCTTTTTCGCGGTAATGTGCATATAGATGGCATTGTCTTGGAAGGCCTTGTAAATAATAATATTACTAGGTTTTCTGAGCTTGATAACCGCCTTCTGCCTAAAGTTCGCACAAACTACGGCAAGTTCACTACCACATTTACGGGAATCAAGCTGTGGAATTCCCTTCCTTACGTAATAAAATCATCAACCACAGTACATGCATTCAATAACCAAGTAAAGAAATATTTTTTGCAACAGTTGTCTTCATCTTAGCAACTGCTTTTTAATGTAGCGATAACAATTGCTACATGTTATATTGTCCTTATGTTTTGTATTATAACTTGCGCTTGTTTGTTCTTCAGAGTTTTCTTTTTGCCTTGCTAAACATATATGTATTTTCTACTTTCGTTTTTTCGCACTGTGCTTTTTTTTTTCTTACTGAAGATACCGTAACAACTGAATGTTGTATATTTTGTTTCTTCTCCCGTTAACATCATGTATGGGAGCCCCCTGACAGTTTCCAACTTTGGGGCTCCTTGTGTGTATTACCAATCCTGTACGCACTTTTCTGTAAACTGACATCGTTGTTGAATAAACTTGAACTTGAACTTGAACATATTTCCCCGACTTACTCCTGCCCTCGCTCGTGGCGTGCGAGGACCTTCCCCCCCCCCGGCAGACCTATCGAGTCGATCAGATCACCTCCCCCTTGTCACTACGCTTAGTGGCTCTCCTGGACTCCGTACTGATGACCATGTGTGGCGAGTGGACCCAACGCTCCTGCAAGACGATGATAGTGTCACGTTACTCTCGACAAACTTGATAAAAATGGGCTCGTTTAGTCGACTACTCAAGCAGCGGCTCAGAGAGATCGTCTTTGTCTTCTTTCACTCTTCGATCTCACCCAAGCAAACCATGTGGCAATAGTCCCCCCCCCCTTTGAAAGCATCGACTCGATGCTCGTAAATTAAAAAAAAATGAAGGTATACACACGCAGATATAGAGAACCAAAAGAGGGAGAGTGCCACTACTCGCAGCGCAAATGAGGAAGTTTCGCCAACGCTTGCGCCAAGCGCAAAAAGAAAAGGCATAAAAACACAGGAGAACACAAACAGCAGCAGCAACGCAGTCACGTCATGTCGTAGCACGTGAAACCACAAGGGCTACTGTGTGAAGTAGGGCTTCAGCCGAACGACATGCACGGTTTCGGGCCGAAGCTGTCGACGAGAAGACGCTGCGCCGTCCGGAAATACCTCGTAGGTAAGATCTGTGATTCGTCTAAGAACCTTGTACGGTCCAAAATAACGGCTTAGGAGTTTTTCGGATAAGCCTGGTCGCCGGACAGGGATCCACACCCACACTCGGTCCCCAGGGTGGTAGGTGACATTTCGATGGCGGAGGTTGTAACGTCGTGCGTCTGCATCTTGTTGGTGACTGGTGTTTATGCGAGCTAGCTGACGAGCTTCTTCGGCGTATTGAGTGTATTCCTCAGCATCTTGAGCAAGTTCATTGCTTTGGTCGCACGGAAGCATAGCATCGAGCATGGTTCGCACGTTGCGTCCGTAAACAAGTCGGAAAGGCGGAAATCGCGTTGTTTCTTGCGTTGCCGTATTATAAGCAAACGTGATGTATGGAAGAATCTCGTCCCAGGTTTTATGTTGTACGTCCACGTACATTGACAGCATGTCCGCTATGGTCTTGTTAAGCCTCTCTGTCAGTTCATTGGATTGCGGATGATAAGCCGTTGTTTTTCGATGACTTGTGCAGCTCAGTTTAAAAATGTCCTCCATCATTCGTGCTGTAAACGACGTCCCTCTGTCCGTAATCACGCATGACGGGGCACCATGCCGTAGGACGATTTGGTGCACGAAGAACTGCGCGACTTCAGAGGCCGTGCCACGGGGTAAGGCTTTTGTTTCAGCATAACGCGTAAGATAATCTGTCGCAACTATAATCCATTTGTTCCCAGAGGACGACAAAGGGAAGGGCCCGAGAAGGTCCATTACCACGAGGTCAAACTGTGTCCGTGGTGGTGCGATCGGCTGGAGCAGGCCCGCGGGTCTCACAGGCGGAGTCTTGCGGCGCTGGCACTCACGGCAGCCTTTCACATATCGATGTACACTAGTTGATAGTCGCGGCCAGTAAT